ATAAGCCTGTAAATATGGCCTCTCCCTTCCCTAATTAACCCTGTAAATTATAAATATAGTGCAAATGGATTATGTAAATAATTTGTCTGCCAATGTGAATTGAAAGTACCAAAAAGTTATGATTTCATTCTAGTTATTCTGTTTTGGCAATAGAGAAACGACTAATGATTGTTTGCCTAATTGCTCTATTGTGAAATCCTGGTGTAATGCTGACGACGCTCATATGTCTTCATCTTATTATGAGAAAGTTGGTTCAAATGACTGGAAAAAGTAAAGAAGGCTGAAAGGTTGTGCCTCGATAAATGGCAATGCCCTGAAAGGGCACTCAGGATTGGTTGAACTTGAATGTGAAAGATCCTACTTCATCACTATACTATAAGCAGCGAGCTGAATATAAAATTTTGCAATGGTTTGTCTTTCAGATAATTAATTTACAGGTACATCCTGTAAATGTGTCAATTACTTTTCCTTTCATTTTCAAAAGAAAAATTATTATAATTATAATCAATAATTTGCTGTTTTACATATGTATGTAGAGTTATAGTTATCTTGCACCCACTGACAAGGCCCCAACGTAGGGTGATAGTAAAATTGCCTTTTAACGAACCACGCGATCATTTCCTTTTTTTTTTTGCTTTTGGCTAACTGGAATTATTCTGTATTAATAAGCATTCATCATATTCCAAATATCAGCGATATGTTTTTTCTCTACACAATTAAGAAAAATTCATATAGTTTGGCTTGAGGTTGTTATTCATATATCATTTGATTCACACTAGCAAGTCTGAAGAGATTGTTTCACAATAAAGATAAATGTTTAAGAGAAAAACCAAATTCATTTATTTATTTATGTTAGATATATGATTGAGATTTTGGATTTTATGACCTTTCACTTGTCAAATTTAAATTTATACACGCGCAAAGATATTTTTGTTTCACATATTTAGTAATTTATTTTCAATTTCTTTATGTAAATGTATTAATATTCATATTTACATGTAATTCTCAATAAAAGGGAATGGGATATTTGGATATTATTACTAAGGGACAAAGTGAAAGATTAAACATGATTTGGTGCTGGCCTTTTCTTCCTCATTTGAATCACATTGCAAGGATATATATATATATATATATATTCAACGTGGGTCTCTAGCCATTCCATGTATATCAAAATCTCAACCACATATAGTTTTATGGATTGTTGTAATTAATTATATATGCATTTTAACGTTGAAGCAAGTGAGGATAATGACTGACATGCACACCTGACAATGTCTTAATCATGCTTGTTCATATATGAAGCACATATGTCTTTATTCTATGACAATATTTTCAACATCTTAATTTGTAAAGAGCACTAAGATTCAAACTGATAATGAAGGGACTTCGGATCGATCATTAGAAAGGATAATAGCTGTGGAACGAGATGCATAAAGGCGATATAGTGGATAAGGATATGTAGAAGAGAAGTGAAAATTGAGAAAGGGAAGAAAGGAGATGGATGGACAAAGCAGAGGATGAAACGGTAATATATGAACAACTTACTTTAATGGGTCATGAAAACCTAAAACTTTCCTTTCCTTTCCGTTCACTTTGAATTACCAAATTTCATCAAATACTCCCTTTTTTAATGGCATAAGGCACAAGGATTATTAATTGCAATCATGTCAGAGATTGTATATTCTCATTTTGTCAATTTTATTGGTTTTGTTTTTAGGTTGCCAAGTTTTGGTTCTCCAAATCTCTCGTGCTCATAATAATTAATCAATGATAGCTATAGCTAGACCATGAAACAGTAATTTGTTCATGCTAAGACAATAAAAAGTGAGCGAAAAATACAAGCTATATTGTTTGTAAAAGAATGAATATACTCTCGTATGTCTAACATAAGGACATGGAACTCAAAGCTGTCACCCCTGCCATGAAAACGAAAGATTATTATAATACTATTTGTATGTTATGAAAAATTCAAGAATGTTACTCCAATATTTCAGTACTCTCTTCAGGGAACCAATGTGGTTTCTGTGAATACAGTTGCAGCTAGCTAGCTAGCTAGCTATATCTTCTTTGTTTCTATCTTGAAAGGAATTGGCCATTGACATCTATCAATTTAATACCAAGGGACCGGAAGCCCACTTTAATTGTCCATATTTCGGTGCGTTTTCGAAATGTGATTAGGCTGATATATTTTATAACTGCATCTTTTCATGTTTTGTTTATTCCATCAATATTTTGGTCTTGAATTGATGATATAAATCACATAAATGTAAAACTTCATTTTGGAATGGGAAATTTCCAAGAATCTAGACTGGTTGCAGTGGTGGGGTTCTATTACTTTTGTTTCACAGGATTCTCAACATTATGCTGAATTCCTGATAAGGCGATCGATTTGAACATCGTTTCCTGTCAAACTTTATTCTTAGCAAAGAATAGTAGAAGTGGCATCAATCAGACAGGGGGGCAGTGTACCAACATTGACATTTATCACAAACACGTGAGCTACATGTACGGGGAAAATTCTTGCTTGCCCTGCCCTGCTGGTTTATTTCTTTTTCCAATGGAAATGGAATGCATCAGGTAACCATCTTTGTTCTCCTGTACAATGGGGGTGTCATACGTATTGAATTTCTTTTTTTGTTTTTAACAAAAGAAGGTGGTAAACTTGTTTAGTATGGAATCCAAGGTTTAGTTCAATTATTTTATGAAGTTATACTTAAGATGTGATATTTAATAAATTTTATTAAGGTTTAAATCTCAATATTTGTAACATCTTCTTTATCTTCATGTTGTAGTCTTCTTTGTACAAAAAAAAAAAAAAACTTAATACCTACTAGGCTTAGACCTTGCCACTTATACTATATATATATATATATATATATATATAATCTTGTATAAATCTAATTAAGCCACGTTAGGGATGATGAAATGTTGAAACCTCAAAATTCTCGTAAAGAACTCAATTTAACAAAAGAAGCTAGTAAAATTGTTTAGTATCGAATCAAAGGTTTAGTTCAATATTTTATGAAATTACACTTAAGATATAATGTCTAATAAATTTAAAATTTAAATTTTAATATTTGTAATTTTTTTTATTTTTCTACTGCAGTTTCTTTGAAAAAAAAAATACTTAATACCTACAAGGCTTAGGCCTTGCCACTAGTGCTATATGTATATTATATCTTGTATAAATCTAATTAAGCCATGTGATTGATGATGACATGTTGCAACCTCAAAATCCTCAATTTACCAAAAAATCAACTTTCCTATACATATGAATTACTGAACATTGCAGATGTCTACTCCATAATTGTTGGTAACGAAAAATCATCAGGTGCAATGTCTTCCCTTGGTTTGCTTTGCTATTACTCATGTGAAGAAACGTCCCTACCCTTATTGTGTGATAAAGAAAGGCTCAAAAACGAGTAGTAAAATTTACTATGGAAAGACAATCTATCTTTATCTTAATCTTAAAGAATATAAAAGCATGTTTAATATGAAACTAATAATAAAACATATTTAGCAAAAAAAATAAATAAAAAACTTCATACTTGAGATAATCTAAATATGAGCTTGAAATCCATAACGACTGAATCCAGGATATATGTATGCCTTGAATTTCAAATTGTTGTTAGGTTAATTAATTTAACCCTAATTCCTAATCCACCTATTTAAATATGTACCATCGCACAGGCTCAAGTGGTAGGGGGAGGGGGAATATTGGGGTTGTAAAAGAAAATGGAAGGCCTTTTAAAAAAAAAAAAAAGTACCCAAGTCAATCCACATAAATAATGACTTGGAGAATGGAATATTTTTGTCAATTTTATTTTTATAATACAGTCAATAATTTTCTTTAGACAATATTAAAGATCAATTGTTTTACATCCATACGATGTATTTAAAATTTTATTTTTAAAATATACTCTCCATAAAAATTAATCCAAATTAAAAACAAAGTTTTTCTCTACTGAATGGACTAAACTTTTTAAGCTTTCAAAGTTGTCAATTGCCAGCTATTTTATTACTATTTTTCATCTGATCAGATTTCAATTTAGATAGATAAAAATTATTTTCTTTGCTCGATAACCTCACCTATCAATCAAAAGGGACAGAGAGACACAGAGACAGAGAGAGAAAAAAAAAAAAAAGACAAGGTGAAATTCTTGAAGCAGAGAGGAATGGAAAAGTTGATTATTAGTAAAAAAAAAAAAAGCAATAATAAAAGGCTGGTTTGCCAGCTATACATCTACTGATATTAGCCTGTAGGGCAATAGCAGAAGTGTATTTAGCGGTGGATTATGCGCCACTTCTTTAAAATGGACCGGCGCTTATCGCGGAAAGAAGAGAGGATATAGACCGCAACTGTCTTTACCTTCTCGCTGGTGTGCTCTGCTCGGGACCATTTTTCTCCTTTTGCTTTGCTTTGCTCCTTCACCCCTTCATTTTATTTCATTCAACTCAATTGAGATTTAATTTTATTTATAATTTGTTCAAAGAAATTTTTAGATATCTTTGACCGAATTATTAAAAAAAACTGGTAAATATATATGTTTAAAGAAGAAGGGCATTTTTATTCATTTTTATTAGCTTTTGAAAAGTACAGCTCTTTACATTTAATATCTAGTACTACTAATTTCATATTAGTTTGGATTAAATTATGCAACAATGTGTTAAGTTAGTCCCTGTTAAAACAACAAAATGTAACTATGACTTTGCTGTTTTTACTTTTCCAAGGGAGAGAGAGAAAGGGCAAGGGCTGGGACCAACACACACACATAAATAGGGCAGCTGCTGAGAGTGAGGAGTCTCAGAAGTGAAGTCGAAGACTCTATAGCTTCTTTTTCCGCACAGAAAGCGAAGCTTCTCTTTTCCATCATTATTACTCACTCTTTTGCAAGCTTAGTCCCAACACTTAATTTCTTTCTCATTCTTCTCTCAAATTACATTCAATACCAACATATAGCAAATAAAAAAGGTGAAATTTTCAAGGAAGAAGAAAAAAAACAGAAAACCCAAACGAAGAGAGTTGTTATGGATTACTTTGATCTTGAGGTCCCATTCACAAGCTTGGAAGAACACCATTCTGATAAGATTTCAGCTCTCTTCTCTTCAGAATCTGATCATATGCCTTCTCAGAACTATTTTCAAAGTTTAAAGACCAGTGATTTCTACGTTTCTTTCCGACAGGAAGCCATTTCTCTCATTTTGCAGGTATCCTATATTTATATTAACATAGTAACTGTTCTTTCTTTCTTTCAATTTGTATATTGTTTACTATTCTTGCCTTCTGTTTTCTCGTATCGTGTTGTAAATTTGTTTTAGTTGGTCAGGCACAGTATTCTTGTAACCTTGATCCCTACACGCCATACCTGGCTATTAACTACATGGACCGGTTCATCTCCGGGCAACAAATGCCGGTATGTAGTCAAGCTAAATGCTCTCTTTATCTTTGTAGTTAAAGAATTTTACCGTATATAAAAAACTTGAAATAAGATGCGGAGTGTTCATTTGTTTGTCTTTCTTTTCTTGGTAATCAAACAGAGGATTGGTTGATGCATTAGCTAACAATCCAATTCATCTTGAATTTTGCAGCAAGGTAGCCCATGGGTTCTGAGGCTTCTTGTGATAGCTTGCATTTCTTTGGCTGCAAAGATGAAGGAAATACATTTCTCTTCCTCCAATTTCCAGGTAAAACATCTCCTTTGGGTTGATAATGTTTACCGTTAATTTGTTTACCCTCATCCAAGGCTAATACAAATGAAACAGAGAGAAGGAGGATTCATCTTTGACGCTCCAGTTATCCAACGAATGGAGCTTCTGATTCTTGATTCCCTGAATTGGCGAATGAGATCAATAACACCCTTCTCGTTTATCTATTTCTTCATATCTTTGTTCGAACTAAAAGATCCACCTTTGACTCAAGCTTTAAAAGATAGAGCAACAGACATAATCTTCCAAGCTCGTAATGGTAATTAAACAGAACATAAATCATTTCACTTATGTCTTTATCAGAAAACAGCTTAAACCCTTATGGGAAGAACTCTGTTTTTGTTACAGAAATCAATCTATTAGAGTTCAAACCATCAATAATTGCAGCATCAGCTCTTCTTTTGGCATCTCATGAGCTATTCCCATTGCAGTTTCCATCTTTCGAAACCTCAATTTTGTCTTATGAATATGTGAATAAAGTAAGCAACCAGTACCATAATGTTTAGTTAATTTTTTTTATTACTTTACGTTAATGAATGAATCTAATAATTTTGACAGGAGAACCTGTTGAAATGCTTTAATGCAATGCAAGAGATGGTGATTAACGAAATGAGCGAGTCAATTGTAGATACGGTGTCAAGCTCAAGTATAAGAACCCCAATAAATGTTTTGGACTGCCACTGCAACAAATCAGAAAGTGAGAGTTCCACTAGCAACATGGCTGCCACAGCAATGCCTGGAAAGAGAGAAATCAAGCGTCGCAAATTGAACGGTTTTTGCAGTGAAAGTAATAGGGTGAAGATTTCCCAGATTCAACCATGTGGATAAGATTTTCAGCCCGACTTTCATTACCTAATGTGCTAAAGGATAAAAAAAAAAGGGTCATGAATGGTTTTGATTAGAACCTCAAGAGAGATGGCACAATATCACTAAGCCCCTCTTTTTTCTTGCCATTTTCTTTGACTAATATTTGAAAAAGAAAAAAAATAATAAAAATTTTGGTGATGAGAGTTAGACAATCCATTTTGTTTCATGGGGTTTTTTTTTTTTTTCTTTTTTTATTTATCTAATTATTAAATGTAACCGGGGGCCAGCTGTTGGAAACGGGACAAGGACAAAACATGGCTTCAAATGTCAAAATAGTATTACTTGTTGGTGTTAAAGTTGTGTTGTTTTATTTATTTATTTTTTAAATATGTTGTGTTGTTTTATAGCAGATAGGGAATAGAGCAATGCTTCATTGAATAAGATATTATAATGTAAACTGCAAAGTAAGAAAATAGTTTCCTAGAAAAGGCAAAGATGGAGGTTTCATTTCTCATGTCAAAGTATAGAATATGACTATAAATTAGTGAAAAAGACCGAGGAAAATGAGATTGGCGGGAAAGAACACACTCCAATTCCTCCAATCAGTACTTGAGAAATTACAAAAGAATTTGTGGGGACAAGAGAGAAGGCAACGTCCAAGGCACGTTGCTGTCTTAAATGATTTTGGTATCTTTGTCGAGAAACTACACAATTTATGTGTTTGAAAGCAACCAGGGTGAGAAATAACGATGTCTTATCTTTGTGGGTTGTTCTGGAATTGAGAAGCATAACAATTTATTGCTTTCTTGAATTTTTATTTTGTTCAAGCTCAAGATTAATCAGTCAGCTTAATTATAATGTTTGTTTTCTTGTTTGTCAATTGGGGAAGATGTTTGTGTAGAATTCAATTGTCTGCAAATTGCAAAATTTACTATTAATTGATAGATTGGGCAATGTTTGATGGTCCTGAATGAAGCTCTTGGCCCACTTTTGAAGGTAAAAAATGTCAGAAAATTGAATTCTGTAGACTGGAAAACATCATCTTAATTCAGGGACCACTGGGCTTAGATGGTCCAAGGATTCAAGCCCAAATTGTATGTCCAACTTCTAAATCAGTGTATAAAGTTGTTTCTGCCATTGCTGTACTTCAGTTTTCTTTCACAAAAATTGTGAAGTTGTTTTTTTCCATGGCAATGACAAATTTCACCCAAAATAAAAAATAAAAAAGAAAGTGAAGGGTAAAAGCTCCTTTTGCCTTCCCTTTGCCTCTCAATTAAGTTGCATAAAAGTATTCACTCTTTCTTGATTTTAATTAAGGTAACTGCAAATTTATTGACCATAATCCACTGTCCTAGATTACAAGTTCAACTGATTTATACTACAATATTATTTGCATATTTTATTTTTGTTTTGCCTGCATTTCTTTTTTTTAATACAGGAGAGAAGTTAAAAGCCACAATCAAGATTTCCTACCAAATTCCGGATCAGTCCACCAGAACCAAGATTTGCCCGCATTCAAAAAGGAAGCTGAAAACTTTGTTGCTATAAGATATGCACATGCATGGACATTAAGAGCTGGCATCCATCCAAATCCAATGCCAATAGCCCAATACCACTAGTCTAGCTACAACCTGCACAATACTATTTATGAACACTTAAATGCGCTAGAAATTTAAGATGGACAAAGAGAATGCTCAAAAAAAAAAAAAAAGATTGGAAAAGAGATTATTAGCCCCCGTGGATGTTTTCTTTCATCAAAAAGTTGAACCAAACATCATCACAGGAATTACCCCGATACTGGAACCACTCCAGGTGAGAGCTGGATGAAGAAACTTCAGGTTCTGCATAAATGGCCCCAGAATTCTCCGCTCTGTATGATCCTTCTGCAGTGAATGGCTGCTCCAATATGCTTTGAAGTTCTCCAAATGTTTCGGATGAACCAATAGTTTGCTTTTCATCAATTTTGGCTGCAGGGTTGGAGCTTGATGACGGAAAACTGTCAGTAGAAAATTGTGGGAACAGCTGGATTGCACCACAGCTTTCTGAATTTGGTGCTTTTGGAGCCTTGGCTGGTGGAAGATCAATTTCGGATGAGCTCTTCTGTTCGGTTTCAACATTGGATATTTGGAAAGGTTCACTTTTTGGCATTGAGTTGTGCTTCAAACGTTTGCTCAAGTGAGTATGCCAATAATTTTTAATCTCATTGTCAGTTCTTCCAGGCAACCTTGACGCAATCACTGACCATCTGCAAACTTCAACTAATTTCTTAGTTCAGAAAATCCAACAAAATTTATCTTTCATTACAGGAAACTGCTCAAATTCTTTTATAATCATGCAATTCAGGTCTCAATATGCCAGATTTCATCAAATAAACAGAAAATACTAATTAGAAATAATTACTATTTACACACATGAATTGGGCTCAATGGTAGCTGAGTGAATCCGATTCTCCAAAATTCCTAAAATCCTCACACAGACCAAACATGTTATGGTTTTTGTATAGTATAACAGTAAAGTTAATTCATTTTTAAAATTTCAAGGGACTTAATAGGAAATTCTGCTGGAAAATCAGCATCAGTTGCAGTAACCACGACAAATCGTAACCTGCATAGTCATCAACACTCACAGGGATAGTTCTATGTACAACCTTCAGCACTTACCGATTTCCAAGCCTTTCATGCAAATCAATTATGGTTTCCTCTTCTTCCCTAGTGAAATTTCCACGCTTAATTCCAGGTCTTAGATAATTCAACCAACGAAGTCTGCAACTCTTCCCGGACCTTTGCAATCCTACAAGTAAAAAACTACATAAAAGACTGGATAAAAGTGTAAATTAGTAGCCAAAAACTTTAGTATTTCTCTATGATATTGCTTATTCCGGAGCACGTTTTACGGTTTTTTTGCTTAATTACCTGCTGGTTTGGCCATCTCTGTCCAATTCCAGATACCATATCTATTAATATAAGCTATCAATTTGTGGTCTTCTTCGGTACTCCATGGACCTTTTCTCAGAGCTATTTTTTCGACCGACTTTGCCATATCTGCAAGATGTAAATGAATCAGATTTCAAGCTAATGCAAAAGCAAAACGTTTTATAGAAAGATTTGTTGCAGTTTATCTTATGATTCTGTGGAAAAACGCGTTTCAATGTCCCCAATTTTCCAATGATTTGACGATTACAAGGCAAAGCATTTATTCCAAAGAGGATTCCTCGTGGAACATCTCTTATTGGTATTATTCCAAATGCTTATATATAGAGGTCGACGCATATTTGTTAATTTTGTTCTTTGTCAAGAAAAGGGTTAAAAAAAGACAGAATATCCTGAATTATTTATCTATATATATATATATATATATATATATATAGGAGGACTAGGTATGATAATTAACTACAAATGCAACTACTCTGATATAAGGCTGCTGATATCTTGTGACTTAGGTCATCGCTTATGCAAAATTAAATAAGAATGAAAAAAACAAGTCAAGTAGATAAGTGCAAAATTAACCAACAGTCACAAACTTACATTAATCAGTGTATAAAAGAATCAAGACATGACAAACAGTACACCAAGTTTGAACTTCATTTGCCTTCAAATTTTCAAAATGACTAGGAAATGCTGGTGGTGTCATGGTGTGTTTTCGTTGAAGAAAATTGCCTTGTAAATATTAACATTCAGGCAAAAAACAATACTTTCACGAGGGCAATGAGAAAAGACAGCCTTATATAACAAATTTTATATAGGAAACGGCTACCAAGAAGGGTAATTGAGGTTGATGGCTTTATCAGATTATAATTAAAGTAATTAAATTAATAAAACTATGGCACTGTAGTGACATTTTATGACCGTTTGGTACTAAATTTATAGAATTATTGACTAGCAGGTTTCTGTGAATTAGAAACTGATATTTTAAAGAAAGTACATCGTGAGGACAAAAAGTGGTGTGAAACACATTGATTTGAACATAATAATAGTATATAGATTAATCTAGGTCTTATGAAATAAGTTTTGAATATTTGGAGTTTGCAATCAACACAGGAATCAAAGTCAATTAGGTGTGTTTTGGTTACACGTTTCTCGAGTAGTTAAGTCCTAGATTAAGGATTATACTAATAACGTTTATGATGGGAACTGGTTTTGATAATGTAATTACCATTTACTTTCTCTGGCAAAGAAAAATGAAATCCAAGACAGTTGAAGTTTAAGAGAGTAGCTAATTAAATCAGAACTACCATGAGCCCAGATTAAAATCCAACCCTAACCAATCACGGTCAATTCATTTAGAAGCCCCTTTAATTAGGCCTTCAAGAAATTTACAACGAAGCCTCATTAGTTTTTTTCTTTTTTTTCTAACTATTTTTTTTTTCACATACGAATTTCTCTGGTATGGAATATATTATGATTAGGCTTTATTACGTTCTTTAAAGTAACTTCGTAATTTGAGAAATTCCGGTATTCAATAGGAATGCATAAGATATACTATTACCGAAAGATGTTTTGCATTTGAGAAAACCGGAAGACAGGTAACAAATTACCCATGCATCGGTTACTCGCGTGTAACTCAGATAATCTGAGCCATTAGCTCCAGCGGTAGCAATTCTAAAACTTCGATGGAAACAAGGTTCCGTGCGAAAGAAACCTGAATATAGACACAAAAATCACCGTTGCTCTCTCCATCAGGCTAATTTGCATACACAGGGACAAGGGAACCTGAAGCCTGCAAAGGAGCACCTATCAATATGCCAAATTCAATCATGAATGCTAGTACAGTCAGCACTCGGCACAAGCTATGTTTATTCACAAAAAGAAGAAAAAAAAGACATGGAATAAAATGACAAATCTATTTTCAAGCTAATTTTAATATATATATATATATATATATATATAAAAACTATTTTGGAGAAGCATCTACTGCAGTCATGGTGAATAGGGTGTTCCCTAATCAATCAAGGTCTACCTGGAGGGCATATACTCAAAGTCTACCTGGGGAAAGTAACAATGTAACGTCAAGTTCGATTGGATGTCCTAAAAACTTCCCCCAAATTGTTACAAATAGTTTCCTTTTATGCACATGGAAGCAACGTTGTCTTTCACCATTCCCGCAGGATTCCATGGTTCAAGCTGCACGCATTGCTCTTCCACCTGCTTGTATAACATCCCTCCAACAAATAGCAAATTTTGTGGGATGTTTGTAATTCGCCGTTGTATCCAATATTCATTGTACAACTTCTCACATTCAAGCCTAATCATCACCATTCAAACTATTTTGCGTGCTGCAGGGCTCAGAAGTCTTAATTGATATAGGAAGAGGAGGATGTAGCTCAAAGAATGCTCTGCTCCCTTCACCATGGCTTCCTATGCATATATCACCACGACCGTGCCATGTACCATTTTGGACATTGTTCATCTCCAATGTTCTAGACTCCTGCTCCAAGTCAAAAAAAAAAAAAAAAAGAAGGCACCATTATTCAGTTAAAATGAAAGATTTGAAGAACGCTCAATATTTAGTAAAAATAAGAGATTTGAAGAACTTAAATTTGAGCCACATTTGACTTTGATTCTTTCATAGTATTGCTAATTGAAAGAGTCTCATTGCATTTTTGGATTGTAGAATCAGTAAATAAAATACTCAAAGTTCCAAAACAGTTTGGCAAGGACAAGAACCTGGGATAATGTACAGCAAGGGCAAATAAGATGGTAGATGCAATCATCCAAAAAGCTATCATTACCCTGCAAACAAACATAATCCCCAACAATAGTATGATTTCAGCAAAAATTGTAACAGGAGTGCAAGATTATAAGAAAAGAAAAGTAAGAAATGTAAATAACTATCAGAAATCTATAAAAAATACAAACATAAACCAAAGATCAGGAAAGCATGATCATTGATCATGTAGTTGAAATTCAAGGTAGCTAGTCTTATCCAGAAAATAGATCAATCAAACACCATCTTTTACAATTAATTGTATGAGCTGACAATGAACAGGGTCATATGTATTTATCAAGCTTTACTATTCTTATAAGCAAAAGACCAGAAGTTCAATGCATTGACAATGCCATAATCAAGACGAATCAAGAGAAATTATTATAACTGCCCATAAGACTTTTGTCCAATTGTAAAAAGGCAGGCTTTGGCCCAAGGAGATCCAAGATTTAAATTCCCCACCTCAGTGTGTATGACAGTGTGAGTGCATTGTTAAGTAACAATTATAAATTTGGGCTCTTGTAAAAGAATGGAAAGCACCATGCATTTATTCCAAATGTTGTGCAAAACAGGATTTCCTCAATCTATTTGGTCCTTTTGACACCTCTATGAAACTTAGAAGTCAGTCCACAAGAACTATAACATCCTCATTCAGTATAAAGAGGTCAACAAAGTTGATTATAAATACAAAAACTACTAAGCAGAAGGAAATATCATAGGATCACTTATCATTAGACCCTACAATCAGAAAAGAATCAAGCATTATAATGAATAAAAGTTCTCACCCTAATATTGAATTTTCTCTTAATCTGTGTACGGAAAAAACCCAAGTATGCTCCAACAGATATGATGAAAGCAACAGCTAAATACAGAAAGCAATTCCACTTGATGACAATAAAGGCAAGGAAGTTGAGAAATGCACTCACAACAAGAATGAAATAAACAGTTCCCTGCAAAAGCACATTAAGAATTCAGGACATATTGAAATATAACATCACTGGAACTCTAAAGTGCAGGAACTAGAATGCATATAAAAGTTACAAAATCCCCAAACTTGCCTATCATGAGGTGACTATGAAAACACATATTTGGGAAATATCCATTTCGAGGTATGGTATTTTGAGTTGTAAGAAAGTAGAAACATGACAATTTTTACCTGAAGAAAACAATAACCGAAACCAGCCCTCCCCATGTTCTTCCCAAATCTGTAGCAGGGGCAACTACAACATAAGAAAAAAAAAACACCATTACACAAACATTAAAAGAAAAAAAAAAAAAACTATCAGCTAAACCTCATGACAAGTAACTCAAAACAAAAAAAAAAGGGGGTGGGTGGCAGGGTGGTTAGAAACTCGACTAAACAGCTAGAACCAGTTAATCAACCAATTAAACAACTTTAAGAGATTAAACTAAATAATTTTTGAACTAACGATAAAATTCTTTCCTTTTGGGGCTAAAACTATTTTACAGGAAAAAAAAAAAAAACCGAAGCCGCGAAAAATATATATTTTTTAAAAATAAAAGATTTAGGGTCAGCAAAAAAGAACAGGTTTTTCTTTTAAATCAGTTTCGTAAAAGTAAAGGTTATTTCTATGTGAAACTTTGTTAGGTGGCCTCCATAATTTTCGGATTTAGACACACAAATGAAAAAAATAGAGAAATGGAAACCTTTTTTAGTACTACTATTTTTTTTTTTCAGAAGTTTCTTTCTCAGAAAAATTATTAATTTTCCATGGAAACAAACAACCTCTTCTCACAATAAAGAGAGAGAACTGACCAGGCAGATTGCAGAGCGAGACGGCGGTCATCGAAGAAATCAAGAACAACTTCACCTTCCCACATCCTCAAAACGCCACCAAAGTCGGCGTTTCCTTGTTCTAAACTATCCTCAACGGTTTCAAGTTTCCTCCATTTACCTTGGGTTTGCAAAGCCACCGTCGAACATAACATGTCGAAATCCAACACCGCCATTCCCTCTAACAACCTCTCTTCTTCTTCTCCTTCCTCCTTGTTCCCATTTACAACAACTTTCTCTTGCTTCCCTAATTCCGCCATTAAAACCAAACAACGGAAATTTCACAGCTTTATTTTCTTCTTTCTCTTTACAAGGAGGACAATAAATAGCAGCCCTTTGGGTTGGCGGGGGGAATTAATGGGGATGTGGGACCCCAAGGGAGGCGGATAAATGACCGACCAGCTGTTGCCCCGTAGGATTCACATTATAGGAGTTTAAGATTGTAATATTGTAATAATTGCTATATTAACGTTCTAATCTACCTTCACTAGTTTCCCACCAGAAAGAAAATCTTTAATTATGCTAACATTATTCTCTTTCCTATTCCTTTTTTGGGTAATTATTGGATAATTAATGGTAGTAATTGTTTCAACTTTTCATGCTTTAAATTTGGACAGAGAAAGCAACCAGCTCTTTTTTGGGCTGTTACAATAATGTTGACCAAAAGAGTTTGAATTGGATAACATAATCCAAACCCAAAGACATCTTATTCGATTTTAGAATGTAATGGATTGAATTTAAATTAATATAATATTAAATTTAAGTTTAATTTAAAAATTAAAAATTTAATTTAAATTTAATTTTTTAAATTTAAATTTAATTTGATATAAAAATTAAATCACTTAAATTCATTCTATTAAATTTTATTAACATATAAAAATAAATTTAATTTTTATATTAAATAAAAATTTAATTATTTAAGTTTGAATTCGAATTAAAATTTAAAATATTTTATTAATTAAAATAATAAAAATATATTTTAATATAAAATTTTGATTAAACTCTTAAATTATTCTTATCAAATATAAAAATATTTAAATTTAATTTGATCGATAAATTAAATTATTTAAATTTAAATTTAATTAAATAATAATTAATTTAAATTTAAATTTTATTTAATTTAAATTTAAATAATTTATGAATATTAATATATTATTTATATTTTTAATTTTAACACGATATGTTAGCACGATATGTTAGGTTTTTTTTTTTTTTTTGGTGTCTTAATACACGCAATAGTATTAATAATGTTGGTGAAATTAAATAGTTTAAAGTTACTTTTATAAATTGAAACATGGATGGATAGGCAAGCAACAGCGTGGCGTCGGGAGCCACTAGCCAGGGAGATACTGAGCTGTACCACAACCTAATTAATCCTAAAAAATGTACCCAAAAGCCAAAGCTATTTTATTATAAATTATGTGTGGTGGAGAAGTGAAAGTGAAGCAGCAAGCGACAAGGGGCAGAGGCAGACCGAAGCAAGGGGGCAGTGGTTGTGGTGGTGGTGGTGGTGGTGGTGGTAGTGGTGGGGTCTCTATCGTAATACTTGATAGGCTTTGATGATCAGATCAGATAAGCTTCTTATGATTCCCAATAAAGGTCGTTTGAGAGTTATCGCAAATTATCAACCACCCCACGTGCAAAAAGCGTTTTGTGCTGACTAATGAAAAAGATTTGTGTAATCTTCCCGTAGTCCATATAAACTATCTTACTCACTTATCACTACGCGCAATTGTATACAGGCAGCGGATGCAGTGCTTTTGGTTGCATTACTGAACATTTTATAAAAGGGCCACTATCAAATCTGGCCGTTGTTTTGTTGATGTTGAGAGGACCAGTCAGCCTAATGAGATTTGACTCCCGCGTCGGCGTCATGCATTACCCTTGTTTTGCTTATCTTCCCATCTCTACTTAGCTTGCATTCTTTGTCTAAAAAAAAAAAAAAAAAAAAACTATTGAGTTTCACATGATTTAACGACGCGGAAGAACCTATATTCTATTGATAGAATATGAGTTGTGACCAAAAACATGATTTAAACAACTCCGTTATTGTCAGTTCATCTGATGCAATACCATATCCATATCCTACCCTTTAAAAGAACGGCTAAGACAGTCTTAAGCACAGGACAAAAACTAACAGGCAGCGAGAGTTCTACATATGAACCTGCAGTTTGGCTCACTGGGAACCTTTTCATGAACCTTTCCTAGTGATAATAGTAATGAATAAAGATTGGAGTTCTATTTCTATATGCGTTTTCCCTCGATTAGAAAACAATGGGAAGAAGTTCAACATTTCAACGCCTATATTTACCATTTTAGTTTCAAAGGCAAAAGGCTGAGCCTTAACATGTTTAAACATGAAAAAAGAAACGATACCACCATTGCTCTGTTACAATAAAATTAAACACATTCATACCAGAAGTGAAGATTCGAATGATGTGTAAAGATAACAAATCTGAAAAGCATAAAGAAAATGAAACTTGTTGACCTACCAAAGGGTAAAAAAGAAAGTTTATGTCTTAGATGCAGGTCTAACAAGCCCCAAGCCACTACCACTTCCCAAATGCTTAAAATCAGTGGCTTGAAGTTGATCCCCATGGCCAGCAAAGCCTGTCCCTCCTTTTTCCAAGGTCACCAAAGTCCTCTCTCTGCATGCCTTATCACAAACCAAACATACTTTATCGACAGCCATAAACCTGTCAGCACATTTCTTGCAAAAGACATGCCCACAGGAGCTAAGGGCTACCAATGATAATGTATTGGTCAGTGTGACCTTGCAGCTTGGACAAATATAAGTCTTATCAAGAGAAGATTTCTTCTGTTCACTGTCATCTTCAGTGAAATAGATAGGAAAAAGGCTCTTCAGCTTGAGTTTTTCCTTGCCTTCTGGACAGATTGTAATAGTGGAAGGTGCCTCAACTTTAACAGATGCTTCTGGAGTTGCCGAGGGAAGCCAAAAAGCTTTCATCGTCCGGAGTGCTTCCTCTTCATAAGAAGTGACCTTCACACTATTTGCCCCATGGAACCCATTCTTGTCTCTGCTGTGGTTTCTGTCATTATATTGTGGTACAGCACCATGATTTTGCTGATCAAATGCATCAAGCTCCCTTGCTTTCTGCAACATCAACCTCTCCTCCTCCTCTTCCTTCTCTTGTTTCTGCTGAGTAGCGTGGGCAGCAAGCTTCCTGCCAGATAAGGAAAAACATTCTTTTGACCATTGACCCCATAAAGAGCAATTTTTAGCTAACTATGAACAGAAGAGTTTTTTTTTTTTAACAAATGCAGTAAAAAGCAACCAAAGGACCTTACTTAAAAGCTTTTTCTGCATGACGCGAAAGGTAGTTTTTCGCATTGGAGACTTCCAATTTATAGTGCTAAATTAACAAATAAATGTGTTACAGAACATTAAAAGCACAAAGTAAGACATTTGAATCCTACTTTGCTTCAATAAAAAGGATGGGGGGGTGTAGTGAAGATGCTCTCCTTGGCCCTCACAAGCTTTCAAATCAGTCTCCTAACCTCCTATCTTTGGGCAATTACTAACAGAAGCTCTGGAAAAATAGCTTATAGCCAATCAACAAGAGAATGTACTGACGTGATCTAATTGTAAAATAGGTTACATGAATAAATTGTCTAGCTTATCATGAAATGCAACAAACTCGGGGATGATCTAAAACCTCGAAAAAGAAGTTAATAAGAACAGCGTTCTTCTTCATGTGAAACTCATGATTGTTGTCATGCTAAAACACATCGCTAATGTTTAGGGGAAACGGCCAGTGTAACTTAGAGAAGACAAATACGAGCACATACTAACCGAAAGCATCCTTACATTTGCAAATACAAAAGTTTGTTAGAACTTAGATCTCTATAATAACTAGCTTCTCTACTCCCATTCAGTTCTGTTTCTTCCACTTTCAATTCTATCACAAAGACAAAGCAACACAAAAAAATGGGGGCCATCAGAATAGTTTGTAGTGGCCAATTAAATTAAAGAGGAAGCTGAGTGAGGTGACACCTCAAAAATTTTTTGCCACCAATCATCAGCCAATGTTTTTACATGCACCTCCACCTACAGCCATTATGATCCACCGAATACCGAGAATATCACGTTCTGAAGATCTTATGCCTTAGCTGTTGAGAAACAACCCCTCAACCAAGAAAAAACACAAATTCCAAATTTTCCTCTTTTACTAATTGAATTACATCCTACTGATAGTTACAACTTGAATTAAAGTTAAAGGCACCACCCCAAGAAATGATAATACAAACAATTAACAAGTCCTTAACATGAACTCTAAAGAAAGAAATTGAGCAAAAATGCCAATCAATCACTCATCGAGTCAAACATCAAGGCACTGGGCTAAGGGGGTACCTTTGGATGTCCTTTTTCTGGGCTAAAAGGCATTCGAGAATGCATTCTTTGCAAAAGACATGACCTTTTTGGCAAGACATAGGATTGATGAAAGGCTTCAAGCAAAGGCAGCAAGCATCGAATGGCTTAATCGAGTCTTTTCCCAACCTCTCCTTTTGAGTCCCGTATCCTAGCTTCCTCTTCTCATCATACGTGAAGAAGGCTAAATCGTTGTTGTTCTTCGAGTGTCTTTGTGGCATCTTTGGTTATTTGACTGGGAAAGGGAAAACCCTAACCCTAATTAACTTCAATTGTTATTGGATTGGAAGATCAAGTAAGAGACAGAGAGGGAGAAGTGAAACCCTAGAAATTACCAGAGTTCGGATCTTCAGAAATTGGATCGACTTTTCTACTCTACTTTTTGAAGAGGAACCGAGAAGACGCTTTTTTCGGTCTGATAAGTTTATCCAAACGGTGCGCATACAGCCTTCTTTTTTCTTTCTTTTTTTTTTTTTTTTTTTAATTTCTAAAATACTTTATTGAAAACATGGAAGCTATGGTACATAGAAAATGCCATATTAATAATTATTTGATGAAAATAAAAGACAATTACAGAATAAAATGGTTGGCCAAAGTTATGTGCAGTAATTCATTATCCATGACAAAATAGGTTTTCTTTTATCGTGTGAATGAAGTTGATTGCTTAATTTAAGCGTTTTCACAAAAATTCAAATGAATAAAATAACACGTATCAAAAAGAAATCCAATGGACAAAAGTGAATAAATCATGGGTTTTTAAAATACAAAGACTCTAAATTTAACGATTTATTAATTTTTTAAAATAAAATTAAATAAATTTTATAATTTAAAATATAACTAAATAACAATATAAATATAATATAAAAATAAAATATAAAATAATATAATTAAAAATTTTAACAATAATTATAAAAAACTTTAATAAAAAACAATTCAACGGTTCCGTCTTTGTGAATCTCATGGTGAACTGAGGAAAAGGAATTTGGGCTTTTTTTTTTTTGTCAAACGATTAAACCAAACTCTATTGTTTGAGTGCAATTGGTATTCCCATTTGCACTAGAAAAGGGTCCCACTGGTTTCCTGGACTCTAAGCATCGTCAAGGGTGGGGTGGCACCAAATTTGCCACTTGTTCAATGTTCATTTTTGTTAAAAAAAAAAAAAAAACCCTTTGTGCTAACTTGAGTAAACTCTCAGGAGTTTGAAGTACTGTGGTCCAAATAATTTGGTAAATTCAAATGTTGGATACCAAATTAGGAAGGTGAGAAGTGTCGTCATTATAGGGAAATTGGCTTTCTCATAATTGGTAGCATTATCTTTGCATTGATTCCATCAAAGTGTATTGGAAATGGAAAAGGATAAAGAAAATGTTGTTGTTATGGAGATGTGGTGCTATCTTCTTTAAAAACTACATGCAACTTTGGCAAATCTGATCATTACAGTGCAATTCACCCCTTAAAAAATTGATAGCTGATTGTCTGAGTCCTACAAGGAACAAGTGATCCTAGGTTGAGGTTGGAAAACAATCTAAGTTTCTTTATAAAGAACAAAATTTATTAGCTGTTATTAGCCTCTTTAACAGTGGCAGCTATGCATTGGTACAGAATGTGCTTTCAGCTTCAATTTAAAACTAATTTCAACAAGAAAAGAAAGATTAAAACACATACATTTCTGCTTTAATTAAACACAAACCAATACAGATCCATCAAGACTGGCTGACTTCTAATTAGAGAAAGTTACCTCGTACTAAAAGAAAATTAATTACAGTAAAAATGCCATTAACATCTTGAAGCAGCTTTTGCCATTTGTAGATATCAAGCATTTTTGTGACTTCTTCATCCATCTCCAGCAACCATACACTTCTGTAATTCCTTGAGAGAGTCTCGCACTGGTATTTTCTGGTCTTTCAGTGACCAGAAGGCATCTAAAGAAGCTGATTCATTTGACAAATTCATGATGTTGTGGAGAATATGAGCAGTCTGGACGATCCTGCTTCAAAACAGAAATTGAGAAACGTCTAAAGATCAGGTTCTGGCTTAAATGAATGAAAGATTCCAGGACTAATCAGGATTATTAAAGTGAAATTAAGAGAGAAGGATTATCTTACTCGAGAAGCGGGCTCTGCAGTCTCACGCATGCGCTTAAATGAATGTACTGTTCTTGATTGAGAAGCAGTTTCTTGGGTGCTGCCAAACCTGGTGGAACATTCTTCACTTGTTGAAGAACTGGAAACTGGTGGCATAGATGACCATGGAACCACTTGATTTTCTTCATCACCACCACTGTCTCCATCATCATCTTCGCTACTGTCATCTTCCTCATCAAGATCACCATCTTCATCTTTTTCATCGCTTGTTTCTTCATTTCTTATCTCCTCTCTACAAGCATTTCTATTCACACAATTTTCGCAAACAGAAACAGTCGGGCCAAGCTTTGGTCCGGAGCCATTCCAGGGCGTAGGAGATTGACAGAGGTGGCAAAGAAGAGTTCTTAAATGCTTCGCAACCAGAAAATTGGCCCCATGTACACTGAAGTCACAATCCCAGCACAAGATGGCTTGATCTGATTCACAACATATCTTTGCCAGAGAGTTGCAGAGCTCACACTTTTTCATTTTTTTTTTCTTCTTGTTTTAAGAGAATTGCCTTCAAGCTTGAATTTTCATGTGCGTGACTGAGTTTTATGCCTAAATGTTTTGTTTTTATTTCTGTTTACCCCACCCTAGTGTTTTTAAATACATAACACATGCTCAAGGCAACTTGTCAAAATGTTTATTAAATGTATAAATGCCCTTTCTGCTTTCTTTTTCCTTTTCTTAAATTTATTAATTTTATATTTTGATAAATCTCACATCTTTTTCAGATTTGGGAAATCTTCCTTTGGAATTGAAAGTAACGCACCAATAACCTAGAAAGAACTATGGCTGTTTTTGTTTTGAAATTTCACATTGGCAGTAAAGAATATTAACAGTACCAAATTGATTGACTTTAAAAAATTTTGGTAAATGAGAAGCAATGAATTGTTTACCAGAAAAACAAAATGAATCAACAGAAAACAAAGGGGGGCAAATTTGCATTGAAATTTCTTAGGTGGGATTTTGGTCATCTATTGGACATTCAGTACCCACCCAGATCTTGCCACATCATGTTCTATTCAATATTCAATTCATAATACTAGTCCTAAGTTTTGGGGTCCAGGCGTCCAGCTCTGAACCTAAATATAATTCGTTTATTTTGTTGCTGCAAGCGTAATCTACTTCTTTGCCATTAAGTGAACTAATGTTGATCATGAATGATAAGCCATTACTCTTTGTGGACCTTTGTGTCAATTTCAATACTCCTCTGTCGGGCTCCGCTTGTTACAGTACTCGCATAAGACACCTGTCTGAATCCCAGTGAACTATCTATTTCTGTGGACATCATGGTAGTGTTTACTACATTTCCTTCTAAGGTGAGTAATTGGTTGCGCTGGTTTCAGACGGCGACGTTTCTAACGAGAATTTTTTAAAAAGAAACGTGTTTGACAATAATTAATATGAAATAAATTATATGTAAGATTTATAGTGATTCGATTTTAATTATTTATATTTATGAATAAAAAAATTATTATAAATATAGAAATTATAAAAAAATAAATATTAATTATGAGCCTAAAATAATATTAATTTCCACGTTTTCTACCATTTAACTTATAAAATTTCTTTTAGTGTTAAAATTATAAAATATCTTTTATCTCATATAATCCGATGCTTTTTTCAACTCTTTTTCATACCGTACAAATTTATTTTTCATGTAGAGTCACATAATAATTATAAATTTTTTATAATTATATTTACTTAAAATTTTTGTTTATTAAAAAAATTATCTATAAATAAACTTAATTATCAAATAATTATCTAATTCATTAAATTTCACTAAAATTCAAATTAATTTTTATTTTAAATTTAAATTAATATCTAATAAATCTCTAATTTAATACAAATTCTATCAAAATATTGGTTTTCAAGAAACCTACTGCACTTTTTCGAATCAATGTTAACTCCACCTGCAATTGACGCTTATTATAGCACATCTTTTCTTACATCTTTTTTATTTTACTAACACAATTTACAATAACAATTTCCTTCCACAACTGATATAGGATAATTTCAACAATCTTTCCCTTTACTTATTGGGCTGTGGGGAGAGTTTCTATATTTGAGCCTCGAAGGGATGTTGACAACTTGACTTTGATACAATATGTTGAAGTTTTTCAAGTAAATTTACAATAAGATAAATATAAAATAAATTAATCACATATACAAAAGGTAATAATTAATGTGCTTCAATCATAATTATTTATATTCATGGATGAAAAAAAAATAATTATAAACATAAATATTATAAAGAATATAAAATATAAAAAATACTAATAGCAAGTCTCTAAAATAATTTTAATTTTTACGTTCTCTCGTGTTTAATCAAGAAATATCTTTTATCCAATGTAATTTTGTGCTTTCTCTAACTTTTTTTTACATTCCTATTAATTTGTTTCTTAGATAAAGATTATTTAGCAATTATAACTTTTTTTCGTAATTTTAAAATTTAACATGCATTTTATATTTATAAAGTTCTATTTCATGATCATCAAATTTTTTATTTACTTAAAACTTTTATCCATTAAAAATATTTATATTTAAATAATTTAATTTAATCAATAAAATTTTACCGAAATCTAAATCGACTTTCATTAAAAATTTGAATCAATATCTAACCATTTCTTCCAATTACATCTGCCGAGCGACGAAGTTTATGTTACCGGAGTCAGGTTTGACATATTGTCTGGCTAATTAGTGTCCAGTCAAGAGAGTGGTGGTTGTCTAGTCCATTATTGGCGCAAATTAGGCCCTGATAAATATAAACCTTATCGGGAATCATCAATTATCTAGTAATTAAACCTTCTATCTCTTCTCTTACCAAACTTTCACACACCACTGTGTAAATTTTTTATCGATTTAAGCTTTTAGTTTGAGGTTTCAGGTGGCTAGTCATTTGACAGAGTCTGATCTAATGTTTTTAATGAGATTGAAAAATGTGTGTCTGATTTTATCTCATCACCTTTAAAATCTAAGCTTCCTATTTGGACCAGCCTGAATTGATTTTTACTAAATGTTTTGTCATTTAAAACAGTAACTGGGCGTGGACAATGTGGATTTTCACACCTAAGTTAAACTACATCTTCCATAGCTTATGTTTCCAATATTCTCGTGGTAGAAGAACACAACATGAATCCTCGTGCCTGATCGAAATGCAACATGATGAATATGATTGTGGCCTTGTTAGCAGTTACCACAAGATATAAATGAATAAATCTTTTTCACCCAAGGCCAAAATTGAACGAGGAAAAGAAATTTGTGGTTTAGATTGAGAGGAGAAAAATATTCATGTTGCCTTTGAGCCCGTGAGGATCAGCTTGTCATCTTTTTGATACTCGACATGGTGGTGGACCTGTTGTGGTGCTTCATATTCTGTAAGCTTGATGTTGTCGGTCGTGCAATGATGTAATACTGTATTGCATTGCTTTTTATAAATGTGGACAAGGTTAAACTTTCCTCATCCGGTGGCTGAGAAATTTGTTTTCTCTTCCTCTTGAGCCTGAAATTGAGACATGCAAAACTTAAAGCATCTCTTTATTAAAGATGTGAAATATGGAGGGGGGACATTTTACCACTCCGCCAATTAACTATCGAAAACAAAGAAAAAGGGTCCTGAAGGGCAACAGGGCAAGATTCTGAAGATAATCTACTGGACATGAGATTCATACCTGCAATTATGTCCAATTAAGATATTAAGAATCTAATGCATGGCCCATGTGGGCATCAGTTCAAGAATCTAGTCTTAAAGAGGAAAACTAAAAATTTTTAAGAAAAAAAACTGAAACCCATGTCTTTTTTCTTTCATTAATAGAAATGATTAGTTTTTAATTTAGATTTTATGGTTTTTTGGGCCATAGTATTGGCCTCTTCAATGGTATGAATCCTGATAGAGTTGATATTTTGAAGAGTCTAGCCAAGTAGCCTATATTGATAGTCTCAACACCTAGCCCATTGTGTTTTCAGATTGCACTCTTTAGCAGTTAGCTAGGCAAAGCCCAGAAAATCTGAACCTGGCCTTTCTATTTCTTTTTTTTTTTAATTAGCAGGTGTTTGAGAGCTCTGACTTCCGATCCTATGGTAAACAGGAATCTAGAGTCTGATTTTTGCCCAGAAGCGTATGGAAAAGATGTCTTGTCTGTTGTTTGTTTCTTCTTTTGTCCATTTATAGTTCCTCTTTCCTCTTTGTCTTTTTGCAAACCTTTGTTTTTTCCTCTGTCCTTTGCAGAACTTTTTTTTTCGGTAAAAACATAGAAGAAACTGAAATTCTAAAACAACTCAACCAATTTTAGTATTAATAAATAAGTAAAACCAATGGAAAGAATGCCATAGTCAACCAGTTCGCATCAATTTCTTCACTAATTTGTTGCCTTTACAAGAACACAATCTCTGATTTGGCAAGCCAAAGATTTTGAAGATTTATTTTCTCAAATTTAAATTCGTTTGCCCTTCTTTATTTGTTAGTGGGATATATAATCTCTTAATCGTATCAGGGAAAAGAAATTACTGAAATGGAAAAAAAATTGAGAGGGAAGCTAAATTTTTTCCCGATATTGATCACAGACTGCCCTAGAACAACAGCACCACCTACAATATATTTTTTTGGCTAAATGCAAACAAATTAAGGATTACATTTCGTTAACCAAAGCTTCTACCAACAATTTTCTTGAGCTTTTCATCAAAGCAGGACTCAACCTGAACATTAAAGTACAAAATTCCATCTCATCCAAAGCACCATCTCCATTCAAATCCCCTTCTCTCAACATGCAAACCACTTCTTCATCGCTCATATCTTGCAATCCAAGCAAAACCAAGTTCCTCTTCAAGCTCTCAAAAGTGATAATTCCTTTGTCTCCATCCATCAACAACCGAAACCCATTGCACAGCTCCTTCATGAACCCTTCAGCACCTAATTTCTCCATCATAGCAGGGAAAAAATCCTCGAACACAATCCCATTTTGTGCTGCCATTGTGAGGAATTTCAAATGGAATATTGTGGGAATTGAATAGAGAAAGGCTGACTAGATATGGGGTATTTATAATTATACATAGTGTGTAACATGGAATATAATCTTAGGAGGAAAGGAAACGGAAATGTTGGTGGAAAGGATTGTCGATGACAACGAATGTACAGGTAAGAGGAAGTTGTTTGGGAAGGTTGTTGCAGCCGACATTTTGCTGGGCTATAAATTTGAGGCGGACTTCTTTTTGTGAAAATGTTCTCCTTCCTCGAAGTTGCATGGGGAGGTACCAGTTGGTGACGCAGGTTTATTCAAAGTTATTTGAAAAAGTTCATGGGCAATTGCTGGAAAACCAGACAATGCTTAAAATTAGTTGCCTTGTCTAGTTTTGACCCACGGGCAATTGAGGACAAAATCGCACTTTGCACGTCAAGGTCGTCAGATTGTCTCACGTAATGCATAAATTTGAAGTGAAGTCGAAAGTGAGAGGGAAAACACGAATCCAATTTTATGCTTTTTTATAAAAGTTACTAGGTATATTTTTTATTTTTAAGATATCAACTTTGGGTTTTGAATATTTTGACGGGATAAATTGGATGAGCCCCTTTCCTCCAATTTGTTAAAATATGTACCATGGGAATAGAATAGTTGAAAATATCTTCTCAAATGTTCTCTCTCCATGTGATTAGTTAAACTTTGGAAGGGTTTTCTCTTTAAAAGCTTTAACAGATAATTACTTTTATGATTATGATAATGTTGAAATGAGAAATTGTTTATTCTAATTTCAGGTAATTTCCTTAAGTAGTTCACCTGTGCATTGACCATGATATTAATGGGGGTAAGAATGAGCCTTGACGCTTGTTAATCCGGTTAATAAAGGGAAACTTCTTATGAGAGTTCCATTTCCAATCATCAGCTGTCAGGCCACAGAGTGCTTATCTCATCGAACTTCTAAAGATGGTGGTAAGTTGGATTTTTTTCCTATTATGCAAACTGAATATTAATTTTATATAATTTTAATGTTTAAGATTTTAAAATAAAATGATTTTCATAATATTTTAATTAAAGGGAAATCACATTTTGATCCATAATTATTTTTTTATTTAGAAATTATGTTTTATAATTTTTTTCTTTTTTGAACATTTGATTTAACACACATTTTTTATGAAAAAAATGTATCAATTTATTGGTAGAGAGAGTGAAGTGATTTCTTTATTCATTAATACTATTCAATTCATGTCTTCCATTACTCTATAAATTTTAAACAAAAATTTTCTTTTGTTTTAACAACATTCATTAATTGTTTCATAAATAAAACAAAACTTTCATTCATTATAATTAAAACTCTTTGGTTTTAATTACATTTATTAAGCAAAAATTTTGTTTACATTTGTTAATTAAACAAAACCTTTGTTTTAATTGATCATATTTAATAACATCCAATAAACTTAACTTATTTACTTAAATAAACGTTTATTTACTTAAGTTAAATAATAACATGCAGACCATAATATCTGACATTCTCCTCCTTGGCCTATGTGATATTATTAAACTTTATGGTTTAATAATAAAATATAATGCACATAATATAAGTTAAGTCATTTTTTAAGTTGATCAAATCATAAATCATCATTAAGCAAAAACTAAAAAAGATCATAGCAGTTGTATGTCATTAACTCAACATAATTCATTCTATGTATCATATTATTAATTCTATACTCAACATGACCTTTAATGAGAGATGCCATAATGTTCAATAATATCTTCGTTAGAGACAAATCTTGTTCATATTCACATAATATAATCATGTATATACATTAACATAATGGAATATGATGCATTAATATGTTAGAAATAATACTTAAAAGAGTTCAAAGTGTCAAATTTATAAAGAACATAAAACCTTTACCATAATGTCAATAATGGTTTTCAATAATGCCTATTATTTGGACATGTTCATTAAATGTCTTTGGTGGTAAACCTTTTGTTAACAGATTTGTAATCATAAGATTGGTGCTAATGTGTTCAATTGACACTCTTTGTTTTGAACTTCTTCTTTAATGGTAAAGTATTTCTATTCAATGTGTTTAGCATCTTTTGAATACTTGTCATTTTTAGAAAAGAAAACTACTGCAACATTATCGCAATAAATTTTTAACGGTTTGGCAATACTGTTGACAGTTTCAACTCATGAAATAAAGTTTTGTAGTCATAAACCATGAATAATGGCCTTAAAGCATGCCGTAAACTTAGCTTTCATAATGGATGCAGCAATGACAGGTTGCTTCGCACTTTTCCATAAGATCATTTCATCAGTTAAAAGAAACAAATAGCTTAATGTGAATTTTCTAGTGTCCACATATCCAGTAAATTTTGAATCTAAACATCCTATCACCTAAAAATGATTGGGCCTTTTATAAGTAAGCATGTGAATTTTTGTTCCTTGTAAATATTTTAATATTTTTTTTTGTAGCCCTTCAATGATCTAACCTTGCATTATTTTGCTACTTGCTTAGCATTCTGACACTAAAACTAATGTCTAGTTTGGTGCAAATTTGGGCATATATCAAGCTTTCAACAATAGATGCATAAGAAATTTGTTCGATTTTGTTTATGTTTCAATTCATTCTTTAGGCATTGTATAATGCTCAATTTATCTCTTTTGTGAATTGAAACAACACTTGTAGAGCATTTTTTCATTTTAAATCTCTTTAAAATTTTATTAATATATATTTTTTGAGACAATCCTAATAATTCTTATAATCTGTAAGGAAATATTTCAATTCCAATTACATAAGATGCCTCACCTATATCTTTCATTTCAAAATTCTTATAGAGAAAATTCTTAGTCTTATGTAATAAGCTAAGATTATTAGTAGCAAGTAAAATATCATCAACATACAGAATTTGAAATATAAAAACTTACTCCCACTGATATTCATAAATAAACATCGATTAATAGTGTTTTTCTTAAATTCAAAGAAAGTAATAGTATCATTGAACTTAAGATACCATTGTCTGAAAGCTTGTTTAAGTCCATATATTGACTTCTTAAGTTTACACACCAAGTGTTTCTTTTTTTTAACTGAAAAACACTTAGGTTGGTCCATGTAAACTTCTTCCTTTAAATTTCAATCTAGAAAAGTTATTTTTACATCCATTTGATGTAGCTCTAAGTTATAATGAGCCACTATTAACATAATAATTCTAAATGAGTCCTTTTTTTTAAATAAGAGAAAAATACTCTTTATAGTTAATGTCATTTTTTTGAGTAAAACCTTTGGTAACGAGTCTAGCTTTGTATCGTTCGATATTGCCATTTGAGTCGCATTTGGTCTTGAAGAACCATTTGCACCCAACTTTTTTACAACCTTCAGGCAATTTAACAATATCTCTAACATCATTATGATCCATTGATTTCAACTTTTTTTTCATGGCATTTAACCATTAGCTAGAATTAATACTTTTCTATGGCTTGTGAAAATAAAACTAGATCTTCATAAATTTCTAAGTCAAATTTTAACTTTGGTAAAAAACCACATGTTCATAAAAAATAGTTGATCTCTTTTGCCTTTGAGACATTCTTAATGCTATTTCATATGATTTATCCACTACAAGTTTATTGAAAATGATTTCATTATGTGGTGTTTGATCATTTATTTATTATATTTGTAAATTGTTAAATGGTTCGACAATTGTAGGATTAACAATTTGAAAAAAAGTTATAGGTACAATGATATGCATCCTAACTTATTGAAATTCCACTTTGCGTGGTTTTACATTCCCACTCGTTTTATCATTTTCAATGAACCTAACATTTCGAGTTTCAACAGTTTTTGTACTATGACTAGAATAGCAAAATCTATACCTTTTAGATTTTTTTGGATAACCAATGAAAACTCACTGATTGTTCTTGAATGTAATTTTTTCTCATGTGGATTATATCAAGTAACCTTAAACATACAAGTGCCTTAAACTATGTTTCCTTCTCGTCCACAGTTTAAAATGAATATTTGGAATTGCCTTATTAGGAACCTCGTTTAACAAATACATGACAGTTTTCAAAGCATACATCCACAATGATAATGGTAAAGAAGACTAATTAACATACTCCTAGCCATGTTCATTAAAGTATGATTACGATTTTCTATAATACTATTTTGTTGTGGTGTAATTGGCATTGTGTATTGAGCACCTAAACCATGCTTTTCAAGAAATTTAACAAATGGACCAAGACATTGTCTATTTTCATCATATCTTTCATAATATTCATCACTTTTATCAAATCTGATAAATTTTACCTTACTGTCTATTTATCTTTCAATTTTATTTATAAATACTTCTAAGGCATTTATTGGATTTTTCATGCACTAAGTAAACATAACCATAACGTGAAAAATTACCAATAAAGGTGATAAAATATTTTTCTCCACCAAAAAATGAAACATCAAAATGTCCACAAATATCAATGTGTATAATTTCAAGGAGCTATATGCTTCTGGTAGGTGCTTTTTTAATTGTGTGTTTGGTGTATTTTCTTTTAATACAATCCACATAAATACGAAGATTAGTAAAATCTAAATTATGAAAGATTTCATTCTTTATCAATCTTTGTATTTTTTTTTCTTTAGATATATGATCAAAATGTTTATGCCACAAGTAAGCTAAATTTTCATTCATTAAACCACATTTACTACCAACATTATGATGCAAGGTTAATAAAGTTTCATCAAAATAGGTTATCAAGATTTAATTGCATAAACCATGACACAAAATATCAGAACCAATAAAATGATTATGTTTAGATAAACTAAAACATCCATTTTCAAACTTAGAAGAATATCAATATGTATCAAGTTTAGACAAAAAAATAGATTTCGAGAAATGGAAGAAACATGAAAAGTTTGAAAAAGATCTAAAAGGCGACTAGTGTTTAAAATTAAATAGTAGGATCCCATGGCTTCAACTAAAGCTTTGACTCAGTTTCTTGTAAAAACAAAATTTTCATTTAGATTTATGGTTTAGGTCATAAGGAATCTCTGTATCATATTTGAGACATGAGTGGTGTAACCAGAATTAATCTACAAAGTATTATAAGGAACTTCTATCAAATTTGATTCAAAAAAATACAAAAGCACTAGGCTTGTCTTTCCTGTCAAACCATATCATATGTTTTAGGCAATCTTTCTGATAATGTTTGGATTTTCTATTAAAATGACACTTATCTTTCTTTTGTTTTTTCTGATGGATTTAGGTAGATGACACATTAACCT